ACACGTACTTTCAGTGGAACAATTTGTCGCTCCAGATCCAGGTCTCCATGATGTTTGATGGCCACTCAGCCGTTGATGTGCACCCTAAAACCAGTACGGATGACTTAAAGGCATTTACGTCCCTTAGCCTGTACATGAAGCCTCCTTCGAAGCAGCCGGAACTGGCAGGGACAGCAGATCAGTTCATCCTGTACCTTGGAAGCAAAAATGTAAGAGCTTGGGTTGTTAAAGAAGGGGATAGTATTAAAAAGAAAAGCTGTTTTTTCTCTTACCTAAAACAGAGGTACTTAGACAAGCAATCAAATTTCCCACTCTGGTAATTCGAATGATAAAGATCATTTTGATGGTATGATTAAAGTAGTGATTTAAGGGCAAGTGATTTTCTACATGGATTATTTCTAGGAGTGCTTCCTGTATCACTATCACATCACTAACTTTGACAAGTCTGGGTGAAGTATATATCAAAAGTCTTTGGAATAATGGCAGCTTCTGTGTCTGATGCTGAATCCTACTTGAAGGTGCATGGTGCTCAGTAGTCTGGACATGTTATGTCTGTAGTTAGCTTGACGGTATCAGCACACTCCTGGCTGCCGTCCCCTTCCCATGAGGCAGCGGTTGCCTTCCCCCTCGTCTAGGATGCACTCAGAGTAAGCGGGGTAGGGAGACTGACACAGTCATAGAGAGGCTGGACAGGCAGAGCTGATGCCGGGGTAGCAAGAAATTTGGCTAATAATGCAGGCCAGAAGCTCCTTGTGTACCAACTGTTTGACTGTTGGTTGAGTCCTTTAAAGAAATGAAAATAGGCAATACTTATTTATATGAATTTTACTTAAGTAACTTCTTGATATTTCAGGCCAAAAAAGAGTATATGGGTCTTGCAATAAAAAACGATAACCTGGTATACATTTATAACTTGGGAACTAAGGATGTGGAGATTCCACTGGACTCCAAGCCTGTCAGTTCCTGGCCTGCTTACTTCAGCATTGTCAAGATTGAAAGGTAAAATGGATCCACGATGTACAACTTATATGCACATTTCATACGAAATACATTGAGTGCACTCACATACACACAGTCCTCCTGTGGACATCATAAATAACATTGTCTTCCTTTGATTCTTGCTCCTTTTCCTCCATTATTTTTATATTCCTTCCCAAACACCTTCATAGAAAAGATTGGGGAAAAAATAGCTATCGTTTTTAAGTTATAATGTGATTATTCCATCTTTTTACATGACCAACCCATAAGTAAATTCTAAAATGAAACATCTTTTCTTCTCTTCTCATTGATGGTTAGCATTAGATAAATATTTATTAATGTGACAAAACCAAATGACCCATTTGGTGATAAAGAAACATTAACATTTTGATGTTAAATAAGTATTTTCTACAAATTACAAGACGAATAAAGAGTGAAAACCCTTTTTCTCCACAGGGTAGGGAAACACGGAAAGGTGTTTTTGACAGTCCCAAGTCTAAGTAGCACAGCCGAGGAGAAGTTTATTAAAAAGGGGGAGTTTGCAGGAGACGACTCCTTGTTGGATCTGGACCCTGAGGACACGGTGTTTTATGTTGGTGGGGTGCCTTCAAACTTCAAGGTGAGCTTTCTAGATATATGCTGACTTATTACAAATCTACATAAATCCATCAATATATAATGATCTGGAGGAACCC